TGGATAGCCTTTTGTCTGGAATGGTATAGGGTTTCCTGCCTAGGCAGGGGGTTGGACTAGAAGACCTCCAAGGTCCATTCTGCTATTGTATTGTATTAACTGTGCTGATTCACTTAACAACTGTAGCAAGAAAGGTTGTAAAGTGGGGCAAAATTCAATGTCTCACTTAACACAAAATTTGGGCTCATTTGTGGTCGTAAGTCAAGGACTACCTATATGTAAGAGAAACACTGAACTCTTATCCACCTTGCCTAGGCAGGGGGTTGGACTAGAAGACCTCCAAGGTCCCTTCCAATTCTGCTATTGTATTGTATTGTATTGAAGTCTTGCGAGTCTGCAAAGGTAAGTAGAACAGGGAGGGGGAATCCGCTGTGATTTAGATTAGCTAAAAAGCAGGAAATCTGACCATTCTAGCTAACATAAATCGTGCGTCACAGCTGATCGTTGCCCAGCAGATCATCGGAAATATTGGTTCGCCTGACCAGGTAATATTTCACCCCTGGAACATCATGCTCCCAACAATTCAGCAGGCAACCCATCCTTTTAGCCTCCCGGAAGGTCTTCAAGACTGGCTGTTTTTCCAGGCATTGGGGCAGAGTGATAAGAGCTGGTCGGTGACTATTGGGGAATCCTAGAAGATGGTTGGGGTACCAAGTGTATTAGTTCATTTTAGTGTTTCTTTCTTGATTATATGGTTTATAATTTTATTACTGCTAAGAGCAGCCCAGAGTTGTATTTCGAGATGGTTGGCCATAGATATCAAACAAACAAACAAATAGTACTCTTAAACTATGGCTTAATACCAATCCAACTGACATAAATTCCAAGGATTTACTTGGGTTTCTTTTTTAATTATTACTTTAGACAGGTGATCGAGGGCTCAGAAGTTCTCCGGGAACTGGAACTAATACAAACCTTCAATGAGAGACCCGTGCTACCATGCAGAATTATTAATTGTAATGTTTTCCAGCCATGATTACTGTAGATGTTAATTTAATTTAATTGTATAGCTCTGTTCTGATCGTATGATTTGTAGCAGTTAAAAAGTTGACAAATAAAAATTGCTTTTTAATTTTTGCAAAAGAATAAAAACACTTGTCCTTTTCCTTTCCAAAGCAAAATAGTCATGTGAAAAAGAAAGTACATCTTATTTGAATTCTATGGTTATATATCTGAGGACATAGTAAAAATAATTTGGTCCTTACCAATTCTTAAAACTACCGGTAGATAAAATACAGCCTCAGATGAACAACACCACTTGATATATTACACCAGGTCATTATTTATTTTACAAAAAGCAAGCCAAAATGGAGAAGCCAAGTGTGGGGCAATCGTGATGTTTTGCTTAATGATTGGTGCACTTAGTGATGGAATTGCAATTAGGGTCACTAAGAGAGGACTACCTGTATGCATATAATCATACTCTTGAATATTTTGGGCTACAAAATATTATGGAACCTGTAGATGGCAGCAGAAAATTCCCCACAGCTCTTTTCTGCTATCTAGTGTAAAACTGGCTTCGGCAGCCCATGTCTGATGGCTTCACCTTTGTGAGCAGTACCCTGCTTCCCTCGGTGGTCACTCTGATGGAGCGCAGGAGTTCATGGCTTCCATGACAACCATGGGCTTGACCCAAGTAATCCGAGGACCGACCCACTCAGCGGGTCACACGCTTGACCTCGTATTCCTCTCGGAGCAGTGGAATTGTGACCTTGGTCTGAGGGGTAGTGAGATCTTGCCCCTGTCATGGTCAGACCACTACCTATTGAGGCTTGACTTTCGGAGACCAAACCCCCACCGTAGGGAGGAGGAGCTGACCAGGTGGTTCCGCCCCAGGCGACTTATGGACCCTTTGGGGTTCCAGATGGAACTTGGGGTTATTCCTGATACTCTCGCCCGCAGTCCGGCAGAGACTCTGGTTGCTGCCTGGAACCTGGCAGCGACGAAGTCTCTCAACCGGATTGCGCCTCTATGGCTGCTCCGAGGCAGTGGATCCCGGGGGGCTCCTTGGTTCACTGAGGAACTCCGGGAGAGGA